CTCTAATGCCTACGTTTGGTGTAGTGTTCAACTGAAAGTTTGGCTGTGAGGTGAAGTACTTTCAGAGGAAGCAGAAGATGGCTTGTAAGGGTTCCAGAACCCCAGAAGACAGTCACAGTGCCAGTCACACTGTAAAGGGAACCTTTCTGAGCAAGCAATTTGATCTAAATAGACATTTTCACAGGAAAATTGCTGTAAATACTGTGAATCAACAACAAATAGGATATTAAATAGCTGTTTTATTAAAAAAAAAAAGTCAAACTACCGAGACTATTCTTTCTATGGTTTTCATAGAACTTTGTAGAACGAAAAAGACTACAGGAAAATGCAAACAGCCATTAATGTGGACTGCCTGTATGTACAGTCAAAGTAAAACTTTTTTTCAAATATCAAAGCATGCATTACCAAAAGATTTAAAGTATAAGGGACATTTTGTATGAATGCGTATTTTCTCCTGTAGAAAGGGGAAAAAGACTACAAAAAGAAAAGCCTTACAAAATTAGCATTACACTGTGTCCCATCTATGTTGATGAATGGTCTTTAAATGTGTTTGTGTTGAATTTGTCATTTTTCAGTTTCTGAAGAAATCCTTCTGTTTTGTTGATAGCCAGTATTTATACACTGACAATGTTTGATTTCTGCTAGAATTGTTACAGTCACCTAATTTATGACTTGTATTTTAGTTTGCCCTTTTGAGAAGTACACTATTTATTCTTTTATACACTTAAGTTACAAATTACAAAACCATCTTCTGAAACCAGAAACGTCATATAAATAAAAAGGAAGGTGGGAGGAAAAAGCAACCAGCCTTTTTTTTTTTCCCAAATAACCAAGAGTCAAGGCCCTCCTAAAAGGCAAAGCAAGAAACACGATCTCAGTTTTTTAACTATATTTTTGTTTTCTAATGAATAAAGCAAGTATGAGTCAGTAACACCAAGCTAGCCGTTTCATTCACAGAAAAGCATTTCTAGGCTTCAAAATTAGTGGAGGAAAGAGGCTCGCTTGAAAAATGGACTCTGAGAACACAGAAGGCCCTCTTTAATCTCTATTATTATTGATTTGGGGAAGCAAAAGTTGTTAACACATGAAAAAACAGCACAGAGACTTTTCAGAGAGGCATTTTACACCCTATTATATTACACCCTATTCGCTAAAGGTGTAATAAACCTTGCATCACCAAAACTGTAGAATCAGTTAAGAAACACATCAGAACAAAGACCAATTTTGTGCAGAAAGCAGGAGGGAAATGACCTGTGCATGGCACAAAGCCCCCACCAGGCTGTTGGGCACTGCTCTGCAGCTAGGCTACAGCTGACAGCTTTTGCTCTTGGCCAGCTGCATATAAACTGCTACTAAGGCAGCAGCCTGTTGCTGTCCTCCCTGGTCACTCCCTGGCACCACCACCCCTTTGTTCCTCCATCAGGCAGAGGTTTGGGCAGATCACCCCCAGCCCAGACCACCACAGGCCCACATAGCAGAGTGGCACAGAGCAGGATGGCCTCTGTGGGCAGCCGTGATCCCTCAGGCCGTGCCACTGGTAACACTGACTGAGGGCATCTGCTCAATCGTAGCCACAGGGCAGACTTGGGCCTCCTACTCCACACAAGTGCCTGAGAAACCCTGTTATTAAATTAATTTCCAAGGAATCTGATGACTACTTTAAATTGGAGGAGCCCTATCAGGAGAGAGAGCAAGACGGATCACCTCAGCCATAAGACGTGGCACATGGGAAACCATGCCTCAGCCCTGGCTTCCAGCTGAGCACAGTGAGGATTAAGCTCTAGAAAATTACTCTCAGAGCAAGAGTGGATCACTGTGGGTTTGTACACCTCTTCTTTTCCTGTTCATTCTGATGGAAAAAAAAAATCTTAAACCAAAACCAAACCAAACCAAAACCAAAGTTGTAGCCCTCTCCTTGCCAGCCAGTATAAGCATATAAACTAGCATACACATAAAAGCAAACACACCATACTTGCTATATCTCCACAGTAAAAGCAGAACAAAGCCTGAGAGGCAGCCAGGCTAACCTATACCACCACAGCCACCTGTCAAAGATCAAGCGCCTCAGGTTTTCTCAGGAGTTCTTCAATTTCCTTTATCCTCACCAAAAAAAAAAAAAAAAAGATTTTCAGTTTCTTGGGAAAGAAATCTAGTAACTGATGCCACACAGATTTAATTTTTCTACAGTTTTTCTATTTCTGTGAATCTGAATGGAACTGTTTCCAGTTTATATCAGTCCTCATGCAAGACCCAAAACCCTCCTTGATGTCAGAAAAAGTGATGGTCAGAAAAATATTGCAGTTGAGCAGGTCTCAGTTTAATACTTCAAAACAACAAGAGGACTTCAAGACAAATTTGGAACTGGATATGCAGAATGCCCAAGCAACAGTCTTTGGTTTTGCACATACACCTATAAAAATAATTCCCCTTCTAACACCGAAATAGTGTGGAAAAGAACAAAGCGAGAGTTTTAATAACCTAGGGAAAAAGTAAACCCCCGTCACAGTCTAATTTAACAACTTGCAATTCTACAATCAGTTCGGGTACCATATTAGACCACACTAAGTAACCAGCTTCACAACACAAGGGGATGAAACTATGCCCAAGCATGAACTAAACCTGAGGACCTTTTGGTTTATCAGAATATCCAGAGCTTTTCTGAAACCAAAATATTAAATTTGCAGCTCTGCATCATAGCAAAAATAAAATTTGTTCCAAAAGACTCTTGCAAAATGCATGTCTAAAATAATTTGATATTTCAAGTTTTTTAGATATAAAGTGTAGATATTTTAGAACAGCAATCTTAAGTAAATCAGTAAAGTGGCCTGCTATACTTTTGGTCTGTTCCATGTCATTGCTAAATTGATACAGACGGGAATCACCCACTTTTCATGCCTCAAAATAGCTAGGTTTGGGCTGCTCTCTCTCTCCAGCATACCCTACTTCACTCAGATTTAATACTAGGATAGCACTCTAAGCAGCTTTGTCTTAATCATCTGCATCTTCTGGAGGATCTGTTGCACAGGCAACAAGGTTACAGATTCTTCTAACTGACAGAAATACTAGCCAGAAAAGAGAAGCAGCTATTAAAACGTCCAAAACCTTTGTTTACTTTTGTTTTACCGTTCTTCATTATATAGACATAGGGTCCTCAGGAGCAACTGACAGTCAAGACTGGTGTCACTCTGCGCCAGACCCCATAAAAACACATGGTCCTGTTCCATTAAGTTTGAACTTTCAGGCTCCAATCTTACCACAAAGAGCTGAAGTTCTGAGGAGTCTTATAACTCAGGTCTCCAAAAGAGAAAAAAGCAGACTTTTTTTTTGCTCCAGCTATTACACTTTGTCTCTATCTCACTTACACTCAATTTCCAGAACAAAAATTTCCTAATGTTCAACTTCAAAATAAATTACAACCATGGTGATAATGTTACCTTTTTTGTTCTCTTCCCAAAAATTCCTCCCAAGAAAACAAAACAGGAAAAATAAACACAAGAAAAAACTTCCAAAATACTCCTGTCATGCAGAATCATATTTCTGCTACTGATACAGATCAGCAGGCATCAAATGCCTGTAAGGATTTTTAAATGACCTTTTACAGACAAAGCACAAATATATCTGAATGTAAGATTAAGCTACCAATGTAGCACACTGTTTAAAAGTCTGATTAAGAACTGCTAGCCCAACATCGATTCCCATCTGCACAATTAATACCTTCCCAGCTCTAATAGTGCAACTGGTGTATTTTTTTTATGTTCTAATTTACAATAGTTGTTGAAGTAGTCTCTAGAAATACCCCTCTGTAGTGGAATAAGGGATAAGATTTCCACACCCAAAAACTGAACCAAGTACTAACTATTCAAGATTTATTGTTCATTCACTATTCATGCACTGCAGCCTACCAAACCCATTTTTAAATGGCCACCTTTTCCCAGGCCTCTCAGAAAAAAAAAAAAAACACACTAATGCACAAAACCAATTATTTTTCCTGTCTTTTTGTCTTTAATAGCACATAACCTCTTTCAGTGGCCCATTTAAATGATTTTCCTGCTTAATGAGGTAATGCCACAAGGGCGAGCATACATTAATATTAAAGAGCCAGTCAAAATAACCAAAACTATATTCATCATATTAGCTATCACCCTTCACCCTTTCTGTCAGTTGCACACAGTCTATTTTTATCTACAAAAATACTCTTGCTATTAACCACAATATTTTCAGTGAAATAACCCTGAATTTTAGTTATGGCATTGCAAACAAACTTTTCTGGAACTGCAACACATCTTTATTACTTCAGAAAATGCTGCTACTGAATGAAGTAATTTGTTCTAAACCAACTGCAGCATAGTAAGATTTGTTATACTGTGTGTGTCTGTAATAAATTTAAACACTGTCTCTACACTAAGTAAAATACTGTTGAAAGTATATCATAGACACGGGCAGTGTAACAAATTTTGTATCTGTACAAGAGAAAAAATAGCCCTATTTCTGCTTTTGCCTGTAAGGAACTCTGTTCTGAATAATTAAGAAAATACAGGCAATTCCTCTTCAAATACCACAACATATTTTACAAACCTGTGGTGCAGAAGAAAAAGATATGCCACATGCTTATACAGAAATAATTTTTAAAGGGCTCCAACCTTTACAGCATACATCTAATATGGCAGCATCCTGCCAAGGATTATATATAGAAACCCTAAAGGTAGCAATGCTTTAGCAACTTATAGCATAGCAATACTTACAACATGGCTGCTCACAGATACAAGCTACAGTAACTGTCACCAAATGAAAATTGAAAAATACAAGTAGAAATAAATATGCTTGCAGCAACATGCTGTGAATGTTTTCCTATCTTTTTTCCTTGCAGTCTACAGTTTACAATCTGATGCATGCACTAAAGCATAATTTTGGTGGGAAGAGATGGCAGATAGAGCTACTTACGTTGCAAGATGCAAAACCCTGTAAACAAACACCACCTTGCAACAAATACTGTTACTTACCTCATATGACCAAACACACTGTGTTCCTCCAAACCTTCGGACACACCTTCCCACCTCCACGTCCTCGTGAGTGGTGTACATCTCCCTAAGGCATTCACCTATGTGTGGCACCATCCTCCTGAGGACCTCCCGGCTGAAGATCATTCCTGGCCCTCCCATGCAGAAATTCTCTCCAGGCTCAAGCCCCAGTTTTCCGAGTTCTTCAATATTGCCCAGACCAGTCTGTCCCAAGTACAGAGGTTTACTGCTGTTCAATGAGCGAAGAAACTCCTCCAATTTTTCACCTGAGAAAGATAAAAGATTACTGTTATTTCTCTGTCTATTCTGCCAGCCATCTGTTTTCCTCTATCTCAAACTTTTTTTTTTTTTTTAAATGCAAGAAGCACTTCAGACTATCACAGGAAACAACTTCCAATCCAGTATTACACGCCTACTTGAAAATATCCTTGAACAAGATTACATTTCTCAGACTTACATGAGAATATGATCAAAACCTTGTCCTGTTCAACCAATACTGATGGAAAACTGTCCCCTGCTTGTTTAAAACTCCCTAAAGCGCGACAATTTGTCAATATAGTTCTAGGTTGAGGAGGACAGTGAGGGGAAGTGTCAGGTTCATTTAATGTGATTGATTTTTGTAAAGACGAGAACAAACCTAAATTAAGTAGCATAAGGTTGATACAGAATAATTTCCTGTACTTCCTCTAGGATCCTGGTGAAAATCAGGCACTTTCCAAACTATGTCTTGTGCTACATTGTTTACACACACTTCCTTTACAAAGCTTACCTATTTTTGCAAGAAACTGTGATTTAATATTTACTTGAAATTCAGAGTTGATGGATAGGTTTACTTTGGATCCAATTAAAGAGAGGTTTTCTACAACTTGGAAACGAGCCCCAAGAAAATGGTGACACCTTTTACTTCTTCAACCAAACACATGTACATGTGTGTGTGTAGTTCACAGATGAATGACTGCTGACGAACAAGCAGTCTATTAAATGATTCAGACAAACCAAGTGACAAATAGGCAAGTGTGCTGTTACCTCAAGTTAACTTTCAACAGTTTGTACGATGCCTCTAACCTAGGTTATGCTTATAGCCTTTTTTTTTTTTAACCTAAGAACAGTACATTTCACAAGTAACAGCGATTTTACTCTTATTACCAGAACACAACCTTTTTTCTGGCAGCAGCAAACACACACCAAAAGGAAGCAGGTTTCAGAACATCCTTCCTAGCGCTGCTACAGAACCCTGACGGCGTCGGGGCCGCGGCGAAGCACACCCCCAGCTTTACAAGTCGCCTTTCAGGGGCCGCGACGGCTCAGCTACGGTGCCAGCGAGCCAACCGAGAGAACTTTTACGAGCGCTGATTTCCGCAGGGCACCAAACCGGAGCCTTCGGGACGAGTCCGGCTCCCGGCGGCGCCGCCCCGCCCGAGGGGACGGGACGGGACGGGAGAGGAGGGGACCCACGGCGGAGCATCCCCGCGGATCCCACGCCCGGAGCACCCGTATCCCACGCCCACGGGGGACCGCGCACCGCCTCCCCGGGGGTCCCCCGCCTTCCTCCCTCCTTCCCTCCCTCCTTCATTCCCTCCCCCTGTCCCTCCGGCCGTCGGGGCGCCCGCGGTCACCTTTGATGTAAACGTCGTCGTCCGCCCGCATGAACCACTCGTACTTGTCCAGGTAGTGGTCGTGCATGTACTTGATCATCATGAAGGACTTCTTCTGCGGCGGGTACGAGTCGTCCACGCCGGGCAGGGCGACGACGGGCAGCGGGGGCAGCCCGGGGGGCGCGGCGGAGCCCTGGCTGGAGAAGAACTCCACGCGGCCCGGCACCGAGGGCGCCCACGTCCTCTGGGCCGCCACCGCCCGGCTGCCCAGGTACTTCTGGGCCGTCATCACCCCCACGTAGAGGAAGTTGCGGGGCTTGGCGCAGCCCCCCGCGCCCCCCCAGTCCCCGCTGCCGTTGTGGCTGCCGCCGGGCCGGCCGCTCCGCTTCTCGCCGCCTTCCTCCTCCTCCTCCGGCTCCCCTTCCCCGCCGCCGGCAGGGCTGGACACCGTGCCCTCCTCCGCCCAGGGGCTGCTCCTCACGCCCGTGCCGCCCAGCACCGCCGCAGCCGCCTGCTGCCCGCCCGCCACCGCGGCGCCCCCGGCCGCCCCCGGCCCCGCCGAGCGCCCGTAGTAGGAGCAGAGGCTGGCGCCGCGCCTCTTCTTCTCGCTCATCTCGGCCACCCGGGGGGCGATGAGCCAGGAGGCGGCGGTGAAGCCCAGCACCAGCCCCAGCACCACGCTCAGCCAGGGTCTCCGGGACCGCGCTGCCATGGCGCGGCCGGGGCGGCGTCCCCCCGCCGCGTCCCGACGGAGGCGACCCCCGGCCCGGGCCGGCGGCTGCCGGCGCTGCTCCCTTGCCCCGCCGCGGCGGCCCGGGCGGCCGCGCTGCTCCCGAGGCAAACTTCTCCGGGCGGGCGGGCGGAGCACTAGCGGCGGCCCCTCGGCTCCGCTGGCACCTTGTCACCGCCGCGGCTGGTCCCTCCCCGCCCCTCCCACCGCTCTGCCTCCTCCACACGGCGGCGGCGGCGGCGGCCCCGGCCCCCGCTGCTCGCCGCTCCGCCGCCTTCCTCCGCGGCTTCCGAGCGCCTCACCCCGGAGGGCGCCGACGACGACGCCGGCGGTCCCCGCGCCGCGCCGCGCCGGGGAAGTCGCAGCCGCCGCCGCCGCTCCGGAAGGAAGCGATTTTTTTTTCGGTCGCCGCTGGCGGCTCCCCCGCGCCGCCGCCCCGACGCCCGGCCCGGCCCCGCCGGCCCCCGGCGCCCCCTACGGCCGCTGGGCGCTGGGGGACGGGGGCGACCCCCGGGGGGCGGCGGGGGGGCGCTGGGGCTCCTCGGGCGCCCCGCTGCGCCTCGACCGAGGGCGGCCGCGGGACCGTCCCGTCCCGTCCCGTCCCGTCCCGTCCCGTCCCGTCCCGTCGTGTCAGCGGCAGGGTGGTCCCGGCTGGGCAGATGGAGGGGGGCCGTCCTCTGCCCCTGCTCCCCGGCACGGAGCAGCTGGTAACTTTGCGGGCGAGGACGGCCGTCTTCCCCGAGCGCATCTTTTTTATCCCGCATTGCCGCGGCCCGGGAACGTGATCGCGAACTCCAAGATGCTGGGGCAGATCCGCATCCTGCCGACCTACCCCCCCCCCCCCCGGCTTCACCCCGACTGCGCTGTCCGCAGGCTGCCAGCTGGGTAGCCTACACAGACAGCAGCAATTCCGGTGTTTTAAGATCTCCCTCTGATCTCCTGTGTCTGTATTCAGTCCTAATGTAATTGTGTGAGATCCATAAAGGTAAATGGTTCCTAGCACCCAAATTGCAATTTCACTGAGATTAATCCAGGTTACTGGAGCATATGTTTAATCGTTTGCCAGCGAAATCACCCATTTTTGTAGTTCTCTAAGCCTATGGCTGTCTATTACTTAACCTTTTATTAACTCTCACATGAGAGGAGGGGGATGAATGCTGGTATTGTGCGATGCTAGCAAAAGCGATGAAAGAATAGTGAAAGAAAAAGATTCGAGCCTTTTTCCAAATAGATAGAAATTAGTTTGCACACCTAACAGAAAAAAACTAAGCTCGATGAGCGCAGTCCTTAGCTATGAAGAAGTCACTTACAGAAGTAATTTTCAGTTTTTCCTGGAAAATGCAGTGAATGGACTGTGTGTTCTTTGTGTTTTTGATTTGTGCAAGCATCAGGCACAGAAAACATACCCTCCAGCTTCCCCAAGGCAGAGCCTCCTTTCCAACGCTGCCCATCGTTCATTTCCTCTCCATGTGTAGGCAGGCTGGAGCATTTATCATGCCAAGAAGCAAGGCTGTGGGTAACGGGCCCACGTATGTGTTCACTCACAGCTGTCACCACTAAAAATGACAGCCCAAGCAATGTGTCCATGCACATAAATTCCCCCCGAGCTGTCCTACTTGCAACAAGGCAGTAGATCCTGGGTCTGTCCTACCTGGGCTAGTAGCAGGCAGAAAGCTGAGAGGGCAGGCTGCCTGGGTGATCTCTTTTCTCAATGCTTCCTTCCTAAATTTTCCTGTGTGTGTTGTATTTTACTTTAATCTGCACTTAAAAGCTGAGAAAAGGTGAGGACATTTAACAAATTAAAAGCTGTTAAGTGGCAACCAGCGTTGCTGGACTTGGCAATGGTCGTGAATTGATTTCCTGCCTCAGAAAGGCTGTGATAACAGCCGTGAGAGTTGGACTTCATGTACAGCTGTCCTTCAGGAAGCAGTCACCATAGCTTTAGGGATTATCAGCATTACTAGTGTCTCAGCTTTCCATATGAGTCTTCCACTTAAAAATACTATCTCCCACTCCTTTCCACTCCCACACACAGCTTTGCTGGGTCCCAGCAAGTCGTACACAGTACTACTTCCAGCAGCAAGGGCTCCTGTACAACCCCATTGCCACAGCCTCCTCAGTTTTCAGACAACTTACTGTTGTGGGCTTGCACAGGTGTCTGACACTGGGCTACTTCCATTGCTTTCACATATACTGAAATGAATCCTTCAGTCAGTGTCAGCAGCACTGACTCCTCAGGTCTGAGAGCTGGGGAAAGAGCACTTACTTTTGTCAGGGGAAAAAAAAAAAAAAAAAAAAGAATAAATAAAATAAAAGAGCAGGGAGACCCGTGGGACCATAAATATTTTAAACACTTCCAAAATGAAACTGAGCTTTAAAGTGTGTGTTTTCAAAATAGGCTATAAAGGAACAGTGTATAAGGGTATTTAAGTGTATCTGGAGCAGAAATATTACAGATGTGTACCTGCAGTTATATTTTCATCTCAATGCTAAACCAGTGTTTTAATACACTGCAGGGAAATCTGTTGAAGAATTTTATTTTTATTTTTCTATATGGACAGACCAAGGCACAGACTGGACTTCTTTTATATGAGCAACTGTGGCATCTAGTGGTTAAAAACAGTCCTGCTTCTGTGTACAGGAAAGTAATGAAACCTGAAATATCTTTCAAATTAAAATAAGTAGTGGTTAAAATGATGTGTTAAACCAGATAACATGAATTCATGGCTATGTGTCTTGTTACATGTTATGATACATTTGGTAAGAATGTCATCAATGTCACATTGAATGTCTTTGGAAGCAATAGAAGACGAGGCTAGGTGATAGCTTCAAAAACTTGAAAGACAGTTTTGCAATAAATATTGGATTGAAAATTAGAAAATCTGCCTTCTGTCCACTGTGACATGTACTTCAAATTGTAATCGTGGGGGAGTCGGGGGAGTCTCTCAGCATTTTTTTTCTCCTGTAAAAAAAAAAAAAAAAAAAAAGGTAGAAAATGTAATCTCCCATTTCACCCCAGTAGCTTTATAGCCTCTGAATAACTTTTTACACACTTGTCCTTTGTTGAAGGAACTGCAGAAACATGAAGGTGTATTAGTCTTTTGTAATACTTTTAAACTAAGAACATATATATATATATATATATATATGCTATATATATATATAGCATATACAGGAAGGAGAGGTCATCAGATACCACCAGAATCCAGAATTCAAATAACACCTTTTTACACTCACTATGTTTTTAAAGTAATTGTGATGACACAGAACCCAGTCATTTTGTCTTCAACATGTCTGAAGGGATGGTTTACATGTCTGCAGTGTCAAAGAGGAGCAGACAGAGATAGTTGTTCTCAAACCTTCTCTCTCACTCATTAGTAGGAGTCTTAAGACATGTTCTTCTCAGCTGTAAATCTAAAGCCATCAGCAACAGTTTGCTAGGAATTACCGGAAGTCTTTAAATTCAAAACTGGGCAGGAAATAAAGGAAGATAAGTCTCTGGAACATTTTTAGATGTTCTCATTCAACTACTTTGCTGAGATGTCTGTCATGCTAAAAATAAAAAAAAAAAAAAAAAAAAAAAAGCATCTAAAACAAGATAGCCTTAACTTCATTAACAATCTCCTCTCAGCATTCACAGGTGAAAAGCACTGACTAAAGCAAACTGCACTTTAAGTGAGGCTGTGGTTGTGAAATGGAATCTTTGGGCACAGTCTTTTATCTCACTAGTCCCATACCCTGTGTCAATAATATTAAGAAATGAAGCTATAAATGTATGGGTTGGTCTGCCGAAACATATATAACCCAGGAGCAGATTAGAGCAGAACAGGGAAGAGAAAGCATCTGATTTAATTTTCCCATCAGAAAGAAGCTCACTGAACTGCAGTGTGTTCCAGCTTTATTTAACTCACTCCCCGATACCCTACATACACAGATAAGTCCACTAAAACAGTAGGATTTCTTTCCTGACTTAGGAATTCATTGCTAGAACAGAGAGTATGCCAGCAGTAAAAGAAAACTGAAGAGCAATTGTAAGGAAAAATTATTTTTTCCAGATATAGTAGAGCTGTTATTTCAAATAGACCTCCTGACAATTAACTGTGTTAAATTCTGCTCTAAAGAGAGCTTCATAGAATAGCAATATTAAATATATACATAAGTATATGTATACATCAAGATATACATCAAGATGTACATCAAGATATCAAGTAGCTGCTAAGAGGCCATTTAATTGGATTATCAGAGTTATGAGAATCTCAGCTCTCCATATGAATTTGGTTTTGTTTGTGTGTGTTTGGACCAAATGAAACCATTGTACACAACAAAATGTTCTCCCCAAGACAGAATAAAATCTACCTTAACATATAATATTTTTTTATTGATATTGTGAGATACTAAGGACAGGTTTAGAGAATTTTAGAGTTGGAAAACAATTTTAGATACCTATTTTGTATTATTATTAAGAGCATCTTGGTGACATAGTGTGAATTCAAAAAAGCAGTCTGAGGGATGACTTAACTTTATATTGTAACAATCAGTAAGGTGAATTCAAAGTCTTCTAAGTTACCAAAGAATAATGACAATTAATGCCATTTTCAAAACACACACACACAAAAAAAAAAAAAAAAAAAAAAAAAAAAAAAAACTAGGGGAAAACAACAACAACAACAACAACAAACAAACAAAAAACACAGCCTAATAAAATAAGGTGACATACTGATCTGCTTGTTGGATGAGCCAAGAAACTCATGACTAAAATACTCATTTTTAAAAGGATTGGGTTGACACTAATAATCACTAATCAGACAAGTCTGAAAATTTTGCAATAGTGTCACAGAGTCTTTGAAGCCAAAACAAAGCTTCTTTGCCTGCTTGAAATCAATTTTCTGCTTTTGTTTTTTAAAATATCATGAGGAAGCACTGAATGGCTCCCTGGTAGGTATATGAAGTTACGGAAGAATCATAGTGTTTGGCTTTAAGTGAAAGACAGTAATATGCCCAGCACACAAAATTGTTTAAATCAGAGCTAGCATAGCTATCTGCATAAGACAAAGAAATTTCAGCGTTCTCATAGAGGGCACCTATGAAAGCATTAACCTTGAAATTTCCCTTGGGGATTCAGTGTTG